AGCATTCCAACTAACTAATTCTAAACCAATAAATTACGAGACAAACATTTCTTCAACGTTCCATTTTATTAGAGTTGTCATATTGGCACATCTGGGAAAACCCGAATCGGAGAGTTCCAGGTTTTCCCTTCCCAAAAGAGAAATCAAAAATTTATCCCCTGCATCCATGAGTCCATCACATGGCCCAATCAAATCTTCATCCCAACTGGAGACATCCTTCCAGTCACTCCCCTCCCGGTGCAGGGCAACATGTCCTTGACTCTCTGAGAAAGAATGTTGTGTCTAATCTTCTACTTCACTATGAAATTCCCCACTCCCAAATTCCCAGGCACTGAATGTGGCAGCCTCGAAGCTTCCAAGTGAAAAATGGCTTCCAAGGCTGACACCTAGTCTAGATTATACCCATGTTCCTTTCTGAAACTCTCTCATCCAGGCACCAACTGACCCTGACTTGGCTTCCCATCTGACCCCAGACAAGATCTGTCAAAGACTATCCTCTGCTGAGATGTAGACGTAATTGACCTTCACAGATCAAGTCATGGCAACATCCCCTTCAACCATGTTGTATTCAATACATGAAATGTTCCTTTTCAAATTTGGAATCTGTGGGATCAATTTAGAAAATCAGTTCAGTTGGGGGCCTTCAAATTGAATCCTAGAATCTGGTTGACGTGAAGGAAGCTTTGTCTGTTGGAATTGACTTGCAAGGATGTGATATGATTTGACTGCTCAGTTGGTTTTCTTGCTGATTTAATTCAGAGGTTTTCTCTAACTGCTTTTGTACAATGTCACCAAATCTAATAGTGTACAACTTGGCAAGCTTTCTTTCTATTGTATTATGTACATATAACACAGAAGTATCCTCTTTTATGTGGGTGAAGGAATTGTATAAACAAGGAAGGATGGGAGAATGCCAGGTGTCCTTTCTTGGAGACACAGACGAGGAGAGATCATGACCCACGCTGTGTGTGACACTACTGAAAAATCTCATGAGCACTTTATTGCCCTGTAGTAGTCCTCCTTCCATTCTTTATTGCCTTTGGTGTCCCCTTTTCTTATTATAATTTATAGAGCTCAATTGCTTGTTAATGTCCAAGCAACCCAAACGATTTAATTTTGCAACAAGCTTTGCACAGTATTTCATTGCTTGGAAAACCCATCATAGAGCTTCCTAACTATTCTAAAGACCATCTAAACTCAGAAGAATATGAAGGACTGGTTGGGGGAGAAGGACAAATGAGACCAATGTCATGATGTGATGTTGGTGAAGTGTTGGTTAATATCCTGATACTCCTTTCCTGTGAGCCGTGATGTGATAACATCAAAAATATCTAACCTTTCCCCAAGGATCTTTTTCAGAATCCACAAAAGCCAAGGAGCCTGAATTAATATGGAGAGAGAGAGAGACAGACGGACATTACAAATCAACAGCAACTCTGCTCATATTAAAAAAACAGATGTTGGAAAAACATCACCAAAGAAATTCTGAAGGAATTCTAAAGAACCCTAAACATAAGGTTTAAACCCTAAACAAAGGTGCTTCATTTGCAGAAAACCTGGAACACAGATTTGGCATAAGTTTAACTTAATGATTATGGTTTCAGTATAAGAAAATGGGGAAATTTAATATGTAAGGCACCTCCAAACCTTGGCTCATTTAGAACTTGGCTTGTGGTTCCATTTTCTTTTCCAGAGCTCAACAATAACCCTCTAGCTATTTTTGGCACTTAAACCCAGGAATGCCTGAGCAGCTCAACAAAAAGACATCTGGAACTTGGCAAATGTCCTTTCATGCTGGGGTCAATGGGGATGACTTTATTATTTCTATGGCAGCCTATTTTTCAGAGAGAGAAAATAGTGAAGAAGGAGAGAGAGGGGGGCAAGAGAGGGAGAGAGGGGGAGAGAAAGAGACAGAGAGACAGAGGTAGCAGATGGAGAGACAGAATGATGTGCATCTATGTGCAAATGTATATGCCTGAGTGTATATGAGACAGACTGTGCTTATGAATTGTTATTCCTCTTTTGGGCTCAAGTCTTTTCCTCTCTTTCTTGGAGACATCAACTTCTCAGAAGGCAATCTCTCAGGAGCAGTGTTGCCAAGGAAGGAAATGCTTCAGCCAAGGAAAGTACAGAATGCCTCTTCAATTTCACACACTCATACACAGAGGGAAGGCAACAAAATGAAAGGGGAGTCCGCTTCGAAGCAGAGCTGTTAACTCAGTTCAGCTCCCCATCAGAAATGCACATCCTGCCATTTCCTTCCCCGAGAGTCTCTGAAATAGATCAAATTAGGGCCTGCTGGATTTTACTTTCTTCCCGCTGAACTTGAGACACAGAATTATGTGGCCAGGAAAGGAGGATGTGTCTTTCTTTTTGCAGTATGGGGTGAACATGAAATGTTTGCAACATGACTGCCTCTGAGGGGAGCAGTTTTGACTGTTGGTTAGGAATTGCATTGTTTTCATAAGTACTTATAAACCGATTTTGAGCACTGGGCAAACGATGAAAGTTAGAAAGGGGAAAGCTTGCACACATGGCCCTTGGATTGTTTGTCAGCTGGTCTAGTGTTTGTTAAGAGTCAAAGGAACTTATGTCTCCTTCCCTTCTTCTCATATTTTCCTTTTCTTCAAAATCAATTTTAGATTAAGGTTTTTCTATTCTTATTTATTTCCCAAGTCCCAAGTTTAGTTCCTTGAATTTCCAAGTAAATGGGTCGCTGGTCCATTTACTGCAGTAATCTGTTTCACAATGGCCAACCAACTGTAGAAGGAAACCTACTGGCTTCAGAGTCAGATCCCAGTGCCATTAAGGCAGATGGCCACTGATTCCCCATCACTTCCATGGGAATCAGCCCTCTTTTGAAGCCAGCCAAGCTGGTAATCAGCACCCCAACTTATGGTAATAAAGTCCAAAGTTGAATTTCACCTTGTGGTAAAAAAAAAAAAAAAAGTGCTTTCTGGATTCCAGATTCTTCCAGGATTCGATTTCATTGAGGGACTTCTGATTCTAGTATTTTGTGAAGAAGAAAACAGTTTTTCCTTTCCCACTTATCTACACTGTGCGTTGGTTTGTGTACCTTAATTATTATATACCCATGCTTCACTATGAAACTATGTGATCGGGCTTAGTTTTTGGGGAGGAAAATAAGGGAAAAAATGTGCCTCTGCCTACCAGCATCCATCGGTATTCATGTGGCTAGTGTCCTGTCAGTGTGTGAGAGAGTTGAGGGCTGTTTGGAAACTGAAACATGGAAACTGAAACAGTATTTGCTGTGTGAGCAAGGAGGCAGTAAGGAGCCTGGGTGTGGCTTAGCTCAACTGTTCTATACTAAAGCTGGTTGCTGCTGTGAAACTGAAATTCCTCTCTGCTTGTGTTTAGCTTTTCCCACTAGTCCTTCCATTGTGAGAAATCACCATTGATGAAAACTTTAGCCAGTTGCTTATCCATAAAATTTGCCTTTTTGCTTCCATGGCTGTTAATCTAACTGAGAAGTCTTTGTTAAAGGGTTTTAACAAAACCTTTTTGAAAAAATCTACATGGATAATTTCTTTCAGCTCATCCTTATCCATATATTTATTAAGACCCACAAAAAACCCTATTAAATTAGAGAGGACCTACCTCTAGTTAAGCCATGTTGACTATCTTTGAGTAACGCCTGCATCTCTAAATGCTTGGTAATTCTATCTTTTCATAGCAGTTTCCACTATCTTTCCCAGAACAGATGTTAAGCTGACAGGCCTATAATTTCCTGGATCTTCCCTTGAGTCCTTCTTAAAAGTTGGAGTTATGTTGGCCACCATCCAGTCCTCAAATGCAGAGGCTGAATGTAGAGACAGGTGGCATATTTTAGTTAGAAATCCACAACCTCAGCTTTAAACTCCTTAATAACCCTTGGGTGGGTGCCACCAGGGCTTGGAGATTTGTTTATATTCAATTTGTCAATCAGGCCTAAGCCTTTGTCTCTTGTCACCAATATGAGTTTCAACGCATCTTATTCCCTTCCTAGGAACAGAAGCTCCTGCTCAGGGACTTCCCTCAAGTTTTCTCAGATGGAAATGGAAGCAATGAATTTGTCCAGCTTCTCTGCAATTTTCTTTAATTTTTAATATTCTCTGAGCACCGCTTTGACATCCTCATCCAAGGGACCAATGGTCTCCCTGGATGGATTCCTGTTTCTAATATATTGGAATAATCTTTTACTATCTGTCTTCATAGCTTGGGGACTATATTCCTGGAATTTTTTTTTTTTTTTGCCTCCCTCACTGTCTCTTTGTATTTCTTTTGCCACTCTTTCTTTGTATTTCTTAAGTTCCTTTGTTTTCCTCATTTGGTCTGGTCTTCTATTTTATGTGTGATGCTTTCTTGGCCTTAATGGCTTCATTTACAATCTGAGTCAATCACCCAGGCCTCTTGTTGGACATTGGAACCAGTTTCTTAATTTTTGAACTATATTGTGCCTGAACTTCAATAATTATGGCTTTAAAGATTGCCTTTTCAAACTTCCCTTTGAGTTCCTTCTGACTAGTATTCTTAATTTTGAAAAGTTCCTTTTATGTTAAGACAAATATGACTCTGAAGGAGTTGCCATGTAGGCCATCACTTCTTTGAATGTTGAAACATGTTGCATTAGAGGTAGTCCTTGACTTACAACTTACTTACATTCCTTGACTTACATTCCTTTAGTGACTGCTCATAGTTACAAAGGCACTGAAAAAGTGGCTTATGACCATTCTTCACACTTATGATCATTACGGCACCCCATGTCACATGATCAAAATCCAACTGCTTGGCAACTGGCATGTATTTATGACGACTGCAGTGTCTTGTGGTCATGGGATCCCCTTTTGCAAACTTCTGACAAGCAAAGTCAATGGGGAAGCCAAATTCACTTAACAACCGTGTTACTAACTTAACAATTGCAGCAAGAAAGGTAACATGGGGCAAAATTCACTTAAAAAGTGCCTTGCTTGGCAACAGAAATTTTGGACTTAATTGTGGTCATATGTCAAGAACTATTTGTCTCAACATGTGAGTATGGATGTAAGATATAGTATCGACCTTTTCCACATTGGTGCCCTGACATAATGTCCAGGACATAATGATTCCTGGTAAGTAAGAATTTTATCTCTCTCTCATTGTTTGGAGGCACATATTCATCTAATCAATGTGTGGATAATGGAAAGGCAGATCTTGAAGTTGGTTATTTGGTATCAGTTGTCAGTTCAAATCTCATGGGTAAAGCCTTACCCCAACAAGTACATTTTCAAAACTGGGTTTCACTGGTTGAAAACCTGTAGCCAATTATAGATACTCAAATTTCCTTTGTCAGATTATAATTCTCCTAATTAGGCATGTGTGAGAGCAATCAATTAGTAACCATTGCATAGAAAATAATTGAAAGAATACTAGTCTCATTAGGGAATTCTAATTGGTTCAATGTGATGCTCAGAATGGTTGTGTGTGCGTGTGTGTGGGGTATAAATCCTAGTGAGAAAAACATTTATCTGTGTTTTATTATTTAAATCATTTTATTGAGTTATCTTTTTTCACATACATTAAACATGACATAAAGCAATTATGTTAGGGATTATAATGTTTATTAATAGGTTGCATAATCGCTTAATATTAATAGAAGAACAGATAGATTGTTTAGAGAAATTGGTTAGAGGAATATTGTGACCAGGTTAAATGCTGAAGGCAAAAATTGTAGATAATTTAGATAATTACTTCTAAAGGAAATGTATCATTTGTTATTTCTTTTGCTCAGTTTTAATGGGTGTTTTAAAAATAATAGACAGTAACATAATCGGAGGCTTTCATTAAATTTTCTAATCTTAAATTAGATGGATTTCGTTTCTTCATCATTTCAAGATTCATTTCTTAAATTAGAAAATTAAAATCTCAAAGAATATATGCATTTTAGTGTATGTTACCTACAAGTCTATAATGTTTTTTAATGTTAATTCCCTTTATAATAAGCAAGTTTCATACAGCCTTTTTCCCAGGGGTGGGATTCAAAATTTTTAACAACTGGCTATGTGGGCGTGGCTTAGGTGGTGGCCGTGGCTTGGTGGTCATGTGACTGCGTAGACATAGCTTGGTGGTCATGTTATTGGTTGGGTGTGGCCAACTCAACATCACTCACATCAAGGCATGCATCTCCTCCCCTGGCCTCCCATGACTGTGGGGATGCTGCAACAGTCGTAAGTGTGAAAAATGGTCATAAGTCACTTTTTTCAGTGCCATTGTAACTTTGAATGGTCACTCCACCAGCAAAGGAGGGGGAAAAACTCCAGGGAGGTTCCTGAGACAGGAAGTCTAGTCCTGCCAAGAATGTAATAAGGGTTAACAGAGGGGCAGTTTCCGTAAGCAACACCAGAAAGTTTCCTTCCTGCCTTCCTTACAGGATTAGTCCATTAATTTCTTCTAACAACCGGTTCTCCAAACTGCTTAGAATGTTAACAACCGGTTCTAGCGAATAGGTATGAACTGGTAGAATGCTACCCCTGCTTTTTCCTAATTAGAAAGGTAGCTTTTGTGTAAAACAAACAATCCCCTTTTCACCTGTTCATATCAACTTTGGTTGGCAAAGGTCAATTTTGCCTGCAAATTCCAACTCTTACTGTCAAGAAATCAAAGAATTATTGGTCATCTCCTTTAAAAAAGATAGATTAAAAGAGCTAAAGTTTGCTTTGCATAAAAATCACTGTATCTAAGGATGAAATTTAGGCATTTTATTTTCTTAGAGGGTTTACTATACCTAAAATTTGCATTCACTTTTATCTAACCAACAAATTACACATACACATTGATTTACAATTATAGTGGGTAGGACAGATGAAAGTGTAGCATTTTCAGACCCCAAATCAAATCAGATAGCTCCTAAATAACTGCAAGGAAATCCATTCCTTTTCTGATTGGCTGATCCAAGATTTGAATGGATCCTTATACAAATTTCTAATGCACAAAACTTCATGTCACAACAAAATGACGAACACATATTTTTTTCATTGCAGAGATAGGTGTTTTTTTTTGCTATTGAATTGAATTGAATATTTTATTGGCCGTGTGATTGGACACACAAGGAATTTTGGTCTTGGTGTAAATACTGTCAGTATACATAAAAGAAAAGATACATTCGTTAAGAATCAAGAATCATAATGTACAACACTTAATGATAGTCATAGGGTACAATCAACAATCAAATCATACTAGGAAACAATATAAATCGCAAGGATACAAGTGACAAAGTTACAGTCCTACAATCACAAGTGGGAGGGGATGGGTGATAAGGAGTTATGAGAAGATTAATAGTAATAGTAGTGCAGACTTTGTAAATAGTTTGACAGTGTTGAGGGAATTATTTGTTTAGCAGAGTGATGGCGTTTGGGGAAAAACTGTTCTTGTGTCTAGTTGTTCTGGTGTGCAGGGCTCTATAGCGTCGTTTTGAGGGAAGGAGTTGAAACAGTTTATGTCCGGGATGTGAGGGGTCTGTAAATATTTTCACAGCCCTCTTTTTGACTCGTGCAGGTCCTTGATTGAAAGCAGGTGGGTAGTAATTGTTTTTTCTGCAGTCCTAATTATCCTCTGAAGTCTGTGTCTGTCCTGTTGGGTTGCAGAACCAAACCAGACAGTTATAGAGGTGCTGATGATAGACTATAACTTGTATGTTTGTTACCAATGAGCTTTCAAGTTTTGTTTGCCTCCAAATTGCAAATTCTCATCTCAGCCCATCACTCCCCTATTTTGACACTTACAATCTTTCTCCTGGCTGATATTTTAAAAGTGAACCATTCCATACAAGGTGTAAACATGAAGAACCAAAAAGCTTGTAGAAAAAAACAACGGGCCAGTCAAATCCCAAAGATGAAAAGGTCAACTTAGAACTTTATAGTCTGCATAATTGGAGAACTGCTCCTTGCAGGGCATCAGAAAATGTAAATTCTCATTCCTGAGCAATCGATTCTATGGACGAACCACAAATGAGACATCAGTCAATCATGCTGACATAAGAACAAAAAACTTTTGCAAGGGCGAATCGGAGAAAAAGTGTTTTCTCATGAGTGGAACAGGAGGAGAAATCCCAAGGCTTGCTTTTCTTTAATTGACACTGAATCCATCAGTTTTTCTGAAGATGATAACAATATTGAAAATATACTTCATGGAATTAATGAAGAAGGTGCACATTTGTTTTAATTTCTTATCTAATGCTGCAAGAAAGTCATGTTCAAGCATTCTGTTCAAGTTCTGCATCATTATGGGATCAAGAAATAAATTCACTAATAACCTTAGAATAAAACAATGACAAACAGAAAAACAAAAGGAAAGGAGATAGAATAAAAAAAATCAAAACTCAGAAAAATATGGGGCATTGGGAAGTGCCAAATGGAAGCCAGGATTCCAAAATAGCTGTAGGTAGGTAGGTAGGTGGGAGCGAGGGAAGGAAGGAAGGAAGGAAATGTAGGATTGTATGAATCATTTCCTCAATGTCTCTGCCAAATTAAAAACACTGGTGAACATCCTATTTGTGTCTAAAATACAACTAAAATCTATTATTGGAGAAAAGCATTCAAAAGTATTTCCAATGAAATTATCATTAAATTTAAATAGTAGGGATTATTTTGCTGGAGCTGGTTCATTAAAGTCATATAGGATCATCAAATTTCCTCAAAAGGCATGGCGTGGGAAGAATACCACTAAAGGGACTCTTTGAGGGAGATGTGTAGTTCAGAATGTGAAAAATAAATATATAAACAGATCCTATAGTTGGACATGATGGAAAAAATATTGAAAGTATTAAAGGAATTAATACAGCCACAAGGACAGATGTTTCACAAATGCTATCCATCATCTGCTGTTTACAAATTGTCATTCACCGTTTCAGAATCAGTGGAACAGATGGTTTATGAAGAAGGATAAGGAGACTGAGAATGCAATAGTTCCCTCAACCAGATGGTGTTAATTCTGAATTCTCTTCTTATAGAACCCTTGAATCATATATGAGATTCTGCCAAATATGATTAATTGTTAGAATCATGGGAGACCATTTTGGGCATCTGACAAAATGGGTTGACTTCCATGAATGCTTGGGCAATAATAGGTGTTAATCTTTTGCATGTTCTGAGATTTTTAAAAATTCTTGTTTATAATTCAATTGTAAGACAATTGTAATATTTTTTAATTATTAAAGTAAACCAGTGCAAATGTGGTTCTGCTTTCTGAGGTCCATATGTCTGAATGTATGTTTCATTCCCTCCTTCTTTCCTTCCTTCCTTCCTTCCTTCCTTCCTTCCTTCCTTCCTTCCTTCCTTCCTTCCCTCCCTCCCTCCCTTCCTACATTCAACTTTAAGCCACCTTGAGTATGCTTCATTTACAAATCATTTATTCTATTTTATAACCATTTATACAATTGTTAATCTCTTAGACAAATTATAAATTTAACTAACTAAATATATTTAAGACATTCATTTCTATTATCTAATAATTATCCCCAAAGAGACATAAAAACAGTAAACAAAAGTCAATTGTTAACGTATTTCCATGGAAACTCTATTGTCAATTGGAAAAACATTAGCTCTATCCCACTTTATAACACATCCAGAATTGTACCATACTTCTTGTATATCCTCTAAGGTATTTTGATAGTAGTTAATAAAGTTCTAAATATCATCTGCAATTTTGCATACTATAACAACCTGCCACTTTATACCCACAATATTTCTATGCTATTTAATAAGATAAATAAAAAAATCCAAAACAAGGTGAAATATATAGTAAGAGTGGTAATATGCATTCTTGACATCTTAATTGGCAGAAAAATGTTTGTAATAACAAGAACAGAAGGATGAGGGTTATATATTTAAACCAACAGTTGAAGGAAATCCATTTTATTCATGACATGTGACAAAAACTCAATCTATAGTGCATAAAAATATTTTTCTGCTTCTAATGAAGCAGTTTAAAAGTTGTGAAGACTGAACTGTTAAATTTCCACAAGGAATTTAATATTAAC